ACCAAAAAAATATACAGAAGAACCTGATCAGGAAGATGATCCAGCAGAGGAAGTGAGAGAGGAGAACTCTGACACTTTTTTAGTAGCACTTAATGCTGTTAACGATTGGTAAATATAAAAAAAAATTAAAAATTAGTACTATGAAAACTTGGCAAAACATTCAATTTCATTCGATCCCAAGTTTTCAAATATAATAAAAATACTTTAAAGCTTATAGTTTGAACAATGATAATTAAAACCTAATGTGTTATGATTATTGTTATATAAGCAAAGTTATTCAAGAATTGCATTTTTGGCAAATTTGGTACAATTTGATTAGCTATTTTTTATAGATTGAAGATTGTTATGTGACCAATTAAAATGAATTTCTGTCTTGCTTTTTAGCAATAGTATTTCTATACTACATGACAAACCAACCCAAATTGAATGATATAGTCAGAAAAAAATTTAAGGATAAGGCTTAGCTTTACAAATTTAGTATATAATTTTTATAACTATGTCTAGCATGAGCTATACTAGTGCTTTCATAGATTGTGTTTTTTTTTTGCCTTTTTCTTCTTCTTTCATTTGTTTTTTTTTATTTTCTTGTTGCTTAGGCAGTTTTTTTTTTCTCTTTTATTTTATTCCTTTATATAGTTTTTTTTCATATATCATTTGGAGACTATAAATCTTTCTGCTCAAAAAGCTAAAAAAAAAAGGTTAGGAAAAAAGGTAATCTTGATAGGCTATAAATAGTGATGCGACCAAAATTAATTTTCAAAAAAGGCCTATTTTGTCTCCATTAAAGCAAATTAAAATTTTTATTTATTTATTATTAAGGGAACCTCTTTGGCCTAGAGAACGTTTTATTAGAATATAAATGGAGTTTTATAATGTAATTACAATGATGGTACATCAAGCCACATGTGTATTTTTTAAGTGTCTAATTTAAGTAGTCTACTCAAAGGTTCTACACTATCTGCCATACCTGCACCCCAACTAGAGAGATACTCATTTAAACCATCTGGTTCTAACTATCTCTGTCATAACTCTAACCCAAAGGTATTACTCATCATATAGTAGTAGGTTTTGCATCTACCCTATTGAAATTTAAATTAAAATTTTTTATAAGAAAGAGCAAATAAAATTTATATATTTATACTCTTTATAATTTCATCTATTCAAAAAAAGTATTAAAAAATTTCATCTTTTAAGTAAAATAGAGCAAAAACAATTTCGTCTTCAAATTTTAATTTTGGGTTTTAGAATTCAAAATAATTTTATTGGCATGTATAGCCGTAAATACTATTCAGTGATATATCAAATTATTCAGTTGCAAGATTTTTTGGTATTGAAATAAACTTTACTATAGCAGATTGAATATGGATAATTTGAATATTTCAGTGTTGCAAAAAGCTAGATTAGAGGGCTTCTAGAAATTATATAATATTTTGTTATTAATGAATTTCAAATTTCATCTCCACCCACCCACATTTGATACTTTATTAGCCAATCAAATTTTAATTTTAATTTTTTTTTGTTATTAAGGGGACCTCTTTGGCCTGGGGAACGTTTTATTAGAATATAAATAGAGTTTTATAATATAATTACAACAATGGTACATCAAGCCACACATGCACCTTTTGAGTGCCTAATTTAAGTAGACTGTCTGAAGGTTCTACACTATCTGCCGTACCTGTATCCCAACTAGGGGGTATCCATTTAAACTATCTGGTTCCAACTACCTCCATCATAACTCTAACCCAAGGGTATTACTCACCATATAGTAGTGGGTTTTGCATCTACTCTATTAGAATTAGCACCCTACCTTAGAACTTACTAACTAATTAGTACATATTGACCTGCCGTTCTGTATTTGTATCTCATGCCACCTTTTGGGGTGCTGCCGTTCCACAGACATTTCTCAAGCACCAACCTTTTTAATTAGGCGCCCATTACATACTCTTTGCCCTTATTCAGTTCACAACAACCCTGATACCCATATTCAGACTATCTTCTTATCTGGATTCTTTATTGGTCTCTCCCTTACTTTCAGCCGGCAACTCGGAAGGGTTGGTCTGCCCAGGCTTTAGATGTCTGAAGGACACTCTTCTCTTGGTCTATACTTTCAGAGCTATATCCTTTTTCTCTGGTGCGACAACCTGGTGGTTTGGCTAGTGTGTCCTCCGCTATAAGACCTGGTTGCTTAGTTCTTCGATCTTGGGCCTCAGTTCAAATTCAGCCCTCCTGTGATACCGTCAAAGATCACTGCTACCTCCAGATTTGGGTCTTCCCAAATGGGTTTTCGGTTATGCTGGTTTCTTGGGTTTATTGTGCCAAAGCTCCTATTTCTAGATAGTGTAACTGAAGTTACAGATAATAGTTCTAGATCCAACCGATAAGCATAGCCGTCAACCAAACACAGGTCTATTTTTCAAATATTGTTATCAGTGGGATTTGAACTCTAGAACTGCCACTTGGAGAGGGTGACGACCATACCTCTTGCCAATCAAATTTTATAAAAAAATTTAAATAGTATTAATTAATAAAAATTTTCAAATTTATATAATTTTTGATCTATTAAACTAATTTAGATGATTTAACTACCAAAATAATCCTCTCAATGAGAGGACTTTAACAAGCCCAATATCATTAAAATCCAATCACAAGATCACAAGATAGATATTTTTTTGTATTATTTAAATATAATATATATAAAATAATACAAAATATTATCTATTTTGTAATCTTGTAATTAGATTTTAATTATTTTTGGGCTTGTTAAAATCCTCTGATTAAGAGGATTATTTTGGTAGTTAAATCATCTAAATAGGCCTAGTAGATCAAAAGTTATTCAAGTTTAAAGATTTTATTATTATATAATTTTATAATTTTGGCCAGAATTATAAAATTATATAATAATAAAATCCTTAAATTTGAATAACTTTTGATCTACTAGGCCTATTTAGATAATTTAACTACCAAAATGATCCTCTCAAAGAGAATATTCCAACAAGCCCAAAATTATTAAAATCTATTTACAGAATCACAAGATAGATAATTTTTGTATTATTTAAATATATATAAAATAATACTAAATATTATCTATTTTGTGATCCTGTGATTAGATTTTAATGATTTTTGGCTTATTAAACTTCTCTCATTAAGAGAATTATTTTGGTAGTTAAATCATTTAAATAGTATATCAAAGTTATTCAAGTTTAAAAATTTTATTATTATATAATATTATAATTTTATAATTTTGGCCGGAATTATGAAATTTTGACCAGAATTATAACCTGATATTTTGGGGGCCCCATCCACCCACCCCAAAATTACGTAATTTCTGGAAGCCCTCTTAGCTAATACTTGTAATTTAGATGTGCTTTAAATAACTAAAGCTAAAAATTATATTTTCTCTATAAGTTAAATATTGTGCTTTAATAAAGTATTAACAAGATTGCTAAATTTTCAAAGAAAAAAAAATTTATTATTATATATTTAATATTTTTAAAGAATTTTTATTTAAACTTTGCTTGTCATCTTTTAAAACATTATTGTAGACAAAAAAACTTCTTTTTATAGTGCAAGAAGAAATAGACAACCAAATATAAATTAAAGCTTTCTTATTTGAAAGTAAAAGTAAAAAAGATATTTTTTTTTAAATTTATCTAAGTTATCAAAATTAATTAAATCTAAATTATAGTTAGGGTTGAGAATGGGCTAGGTTAGGCTTGGGCCTAATTCGGCCCTATATTTTTAGGCCTGCTAATTTTTGGACTAGGTATGGGCTTTGTAACTAAGCCCAGTAGACCTAATGAGCCTATTATATTATACTGTTAGTACTTCAATTTAATTGTATCTTTTGAAAACTAATTAAAGTTTTTTAACAGATAAAATTGCAACCTGCTAAGTCAAACTAGAGAACCTTCTAAACATTATACTAATTATGCAGGCTTTTCTTGATAGTGCTCTAATTTCTGAACCCAAACCCTAAAGTGTTCTATTTGGGGATGGCTAAAGCCAGATGCATTTATATATTTTTAATTATTTAATTAAAATCAGAGTTAGAGATTTAGGTTAGAGAAGTTTTTATAAGTAAAATTGGCTTCTCAATATTTTTTATTAGTGCTTCAAGACAGGTTTAGATACTTGTTTCTTCAATATTTTTCACTTTTGTTTTTTGTTTTTGTCTCATCAGGTTGATCCAAGTTAATCAAATTTTATAATTTGATTAGCTGTTAGTCATATGAACATGCCTGGCTTTAGATGTCCTCTTATTTAAATTTGGTTACTCATATTTATACCCAATGTTTTACATATAACAAAATAAAAATATAGCTAATATTAGTGTTTGATTATTAAAAGTGATCAATTGTAAATTTCTTAAGTTAGAATGTATTAAAATTCCATTTGTACATAATTATATAATAGTAATTTCATCTTGTTTTCAAGAATTTAAATTAATTGATCAGATATAATTTATTAAAAGTTAAAAAATGAACTATATCTATTTCATTTATATCAAGATATTGATTATTTATTTTAAAAGCTTCAAACATTATAGCTGTTTTCATAAATTTTAAAACATCTGGTAAAAAATTGACTGAATAATTGTTTGGCTGATAGGTTTTTAATTTCAGTAATTAACAATTACATAATAATGTGCATATTTGCTAATAACAGAAAATTAGATATTTTAAAATATATACTACTAGTTGTAAACCCGTGTAATAATGTATAGGAATAAATTTATAAAATTTTTAAATATAAAATAAGAAAATTACTAACTAAACATAGTGTGTACAAACATGGGTGATATATAAATTATAAAATTGTATTGTATATATATACATGTAATACATATATATATATTAATAATGTAAATTTTAAGTAACGTATTACCACTTTTTTTCTTGTCATACATATTCTTTTACTGCGCTTTTCTTTTACCTTATACTTTACCTTATGCTTTACCTTACACTTTACCTTACTCTTTATCTTATGCTTTATCTTATGCTTTACCTCCTGTTGTCTATTTTTTCTTTTACTCTGTTCTGCGCTCTTCTTGTTGGGCATTCTTCTTCTTGCTTTCTATGCTCTTTTTTCTCCTGCAATTGTACTCTTCTTTTTGTCTGCATTCTTCATGATTTGAAAACTGAACTGTGTATGGTATGTATCTAAATTTCTAGCCATGTGAATACTAGTGCTTAAATTCACTAAATGTTTACTTTCTATGCTCTTTTTCCTCTTCTACATTCTTTGTGATCTAGACATTTTAACTGTGTATAGTATGTACCTAAACTTCTAGCTATATGAATACTAGTGCTTAAACTCTAAACTTTGAAATTCACTAACTATGCTCTTTTTCCTCTTCTGCATTCTTTATGATTTAGACATCTGATAGTATTTACTTAAACTTCTAGCCATGTGAATACTGGTGCTTTCTTTTTTCTTTTCTACATTCTTTGTGATCTAAACATCTTGACTCTTAAACTCTAAACTTTGAAATTCACTAAATGTTGCTTTCTACGCTCTTTTTCCTCTTCTGCATTCTTTATGATTTAGACATCTGAACTATGTATAGCATTTACTTAAACTTCTAGCCATGTGAATACTAGTGCTTGAACTCTAAACTTTGAAAATAACTAAATATTTGCTTTCTATGATCTTTTTTCTCTTCTGCATTCTTTGTGATCTAGAAATCTGACCTGTGTATAGTATGTACACTCCTCTGACAAAAGTCACCGGCTGTCGATCATTTTTAGTAATGATCAGCAAGCGAAAGGATTCGTTGAAAATCCGTTTGTT